TGCGGAGAGGCTGAAGTTCAGGCGTTGGGGCCGGTTCCAGAGAGCCGGGACATCTGCAGCGCCAGGGCGGTGCGGGGCACCGGCGTTCACACCGCCGGGAGCGCGCCGCTTGTCCTTAAATTTCGGGATTCTTTGTCTAACGGCAGCCTGCAGGAAGCGAAAGGAAGGGCTGCCTTTGCACTATGAAATCTTAATGAAAGACGGCATTTGGTTTTGTAAAAATATTTTCATTTCCTCAGTCTTGGGATTACTTTTTTTCCCCCTTAGGATTTTCATTGCCTCGTTCTTACTATTTTGAGTATGCTCGCTACGGTTTTTCCCTGCTTTCATCAGCAGGGTATAATGAAGCAGCACGTCGAGGAATAGGCTGCCTTGTCCTGTAAAGAAAACTCAAAACATGGAGAAACTTCACAGCACAAGTTCTAACAAAACAGTACTAGGGAACCATTGTCTGAAAGAACATGAAAACATTTTCGATCATATTTTCTCTCTCTTTAAGCGAGACTTTCCTGTATACACAGATCAACAGCCCAATTCACTGATCCTTTACTGTCTTTCTAAAACCTGACGCAAACCTCTCAACCAGTATCTCTTGCCCTCAGCTTCAGTGAGCTTAACAGAGATGTCCCAAAATTAAATAGGAGTTTGCAGAGCTACGGTCATTTCAAAATCAGGGCAGCCCTTACTTGCCTCCAGCAAGGTATCGCCAGTGAACTCAGGCCTGGTACTGCTTCTCTTGCAGAGGTGGTTCTGCCATGCCCACTGAATGTACGTTGAATCTCCTCACTCAGACCTTGATCTCTGCCTGTTTTTCCAGAGCTTTCCAGAGCTTTCCTCTAACTGTTCCCTCTAGCTCACTATGTACTTAACTTGTACTTTTTAGCTAAATAAAAGAAAGCCACGCTTTGGAGCTTATCAAATGCATATCACAAAGATCCTGACTGTAATTCACAGGAGTTATTTAATCCAAATCCAAATCATTCCACAGACATTATTTACATAGAAATAAATAATCCGGTAATTAAATACAAGGAATCAATCAGATGTTGATTTGAAAGAAAAGGGATTGAAACATAGCATGTGGAAAATACTACAACTGTAAATACTGAATTGTCAATAGACTCATGAGGACAAAGACCAGTGTTCATTTGAAGTTCATGAATATCAAAATCAGTATTCTGCAGATCAAAGGGTACCACATTTTTGCTGACAAGTAGTACCTGAGGTTTGGGAGCCTAAACAGAGACATTAGTGGGAGAAGCATAAAGAGGGAAAGTTGTTTTTACAGGCCTTTTATGAATTTAACAATGCTGTCCAACCCCCTTTTCCCAGCTGGAAATGAGAAACCACAATAATCATATAGGCTTATGATTCCATGGAATCCATCGTCGAGGTGGTACCAGGTCACTCGAACACCGTTGTCCTCCAATCTCTTCTTGTAAAGCAAGCCATCGTCTCTTAGCACATCGTATTCACAAGTCAAGATGAAAGACTCGGGCAGCTGGTGAACAACAGCATCTTCGGCTAACAGTGGACACAGGCTGGGCTCACAGAATCTTTTCATTGTCTCATAAACTTCAGCCTTGAATTCATGGGGCTTGTGTGGTTTGTAGCCTCTGACTTTAAATTTTTCAGGGATGTTATCTGGACTCACCCACTTCCTGTACTTCAGCCTCATATCTGGGGGAATATGAGACCCCTCCAAGACCTCTTGCATATGCAAGGCATCCCCATTTAGGTACTGTAACATATAGAAAGCAGCACGTTTGCGGAATAAGAGAGGGACTCCCCGATTCTGCTGATAAGATGGTAAATTGAAGTCCAGTGCCTGAAGGCCTGGGTAGATCAAGATCTGAGCACGTAGTTTGGGGAGGTCTGATCTCCCTGCAAGGGTCTGGCTAACAGCAGCTGCTAGGTTGCCCCCAGCACTGTCCCCGCAGACAATTACGTTGGCAGGATCCACGCCATAGTGCTCCATATTCTTCATAAAGTGTACGGTGGCATTAAGACAGTCTTCATACGCAGCAGGGTATTTGTGTTCAGGAGCTAAACGATACCTAGCACACAAAAGGAGACAACAAAAGTACGAGAAGGAAATGTCATAACTTTAAATACAAATTTCCTACAGCGCCCTGGCTTTTCCTGTGTTGTTTGGAGTATTTTTCCTTCAGCAAGAAAAAAACGGTGTCATTATCTGCTAAACAGGTATTTGTCCATTGAGTTATCACAGATAAATGATAGCCAGAGGGATGCAGTTGCAAGGACATAGCATAGTTGGGATTTTCTTCTGAGAACAGCACTGATCAGAACTTAAGTGATACAAGTTCATTTTACTCTTCTGGTGTTGACTACATCTGGCTTGTGGACGAAGTAATTTAATTAGTCTGCACCTCACCTTTACTTAGGATATTTCCCCTTGAGAATTATTTCATTTTTCTTCATTTATTTAAATAACTGGGCCATATTTTTCAGCATTATTAGTATTAAAATATATTAGCATTTGATTCTTACAGTTAGAAAGCTCTTTGAAGTTTACAGGGTGATTACATCTGATTAAACAGATCACTGAATTACCACCTTCCAAGTTTGTTATTAGTCAGCTCTCAACACAATAGAAAACTCTTCTGGAAAAACATTCCTTCTTTTTGTGTGGTGCCAGCATAGCTCTGTGCTGGGAGATACATGAGCCTTACGTGGAGGTCTGTTTGCACTCTCCTTGCATTAGCAGATTATGGGGGGAAGAAATGAAAACGGTCTCCTTGAAATTCTGCCTGACCATCTGGGATCCTGGGGAAATGGTTTACTGAGGAGTGTTCCCACAAGACGTGCAACACTGTGGCACTGAGAAATGAAAAGAAGTAAAGACTTCCTCGGGTAGTACTGACATAACTCACCCAACAGACACAACCACCGAGTCCGTTTCTCTGGCAAGGTAACGGCAGATCTTTTCATAGGAATCTGCAAAGAGTTGGGGGGTTGTTAGCTGCCCGCTCCGTTTCCAGATGCTACAGCCAAGGAAGGTGGCAGCCTCCTTTTCCCGCCCTCGCCATGCCCTTCCCGACCCTCACACACCACCTCACCTCCCCTTGTCCCTCTTCCCCTCAGGGCAGGCGGCAGTGGCTCACCGAGAGCACCTAGCTGCCCGAAGATGACGGGAAAGCTCAGCCAGATTTCGGACTTTCTGCCAGGCCTCGGGGCAGAATTATTCCCCCCGCCTCCAGAAGATAACCGCGGCAGTGCACAGGTGCGCCGGGGAGCGGGGGAGGAAGGGGAACGACCCGATCCGCCCTACCGA